AGAGCCTGGCTGGGGCTAGGTTTGGCTTTACCTGTGTCTTATCCGCCTGCCTCTCTTTCCTCCCACCCACCGAGCTGTCCCTTCTTGACACCTCTGGGGAGCCAGGTTTCTTCCTGAGCATGGGCAGAGTTTTCAAGGAAAGAGGAAGAGCTGCTCCAAGCATGTCTCTCCAGAGTGTTGTGGGGTTTTTTTTCCCCCTTCCCTTTCTTGTTTCAATTTTGGGTTTCTTCTTTCTGCGCTCTGAAGAAGAAACCGAGGTGGCCCCGAAGAGGGGGCAGGTTTTGTGGGGTTTGAGAGAAGACGACCTCCTGAGCACGAGCAGGATCTTTAGCCTCTTTTTCTCATCCACCGGGGGGGGGGGTTCCTCCCCCTTCCCTTTCTTGTTTCAATTTTGGGTTTCTTCTTTCTGCGCTCTGAAGAAGAAACCGAGGTGGCCCCGAAGAGGGGGCAGGTTTTGTGGGGTTTGAGAGAAGACGACCTCCTGAGCACGAGCAGGATCTCTAGCCTCTGTTTCTCGGCTCGGCCCGGGGGGGTCCTCCTGAGTGTTGCGGGGTCAGTCATTTGTGGAAGTAGATACACAAGGAATGTATTCGCGAAGGCTTTCACAGCCGGGATCTAAAGGTTGTTAGACGCTCCTGTCCTCTGAAGATGCCGGCCACAGAGATTGGCGAAACGTTAGGAAGAACAACCTTCAGAACACGGCCAAAGAGCCCGAAAAACCCACAACAACCATAACAAGGAATATTAATGTTATTTTGTGTTTCTTTTTAAAGGCAGATAGGAGGAGAGTCCGTTTTGGGCATGCATGTGCAGAGTGCTGGGTGTCTACCTTTGGACGCAGCCTGGAAGAAGTCGGGGTGTCTCTGGATAGGCACTTAAGTCCTGGACCCCAGGAAAAAAAATGAGATGTGGGTTTTGAGCCTGTAGGGATTTCCCCTTTCCTCCATGGTGCAAGAGGTGGTTTTCTAAGACAAATTGGCATTACATTGAGTCAGCCAGTTGGTCTGCCTTTGGAGGTTTCTGGGTGTTTGCTGGATGCCTTTTTCTTTCTGCTTCTGGTTGTGTGCAAGGAGTACTTTCCCTTACTTAGTAATCTGTAGTTGTACCTTTCATATGGATGTTTTAATAAGGAGTATAGATGTTTCCAGGGAAAGATTGTATGAAACTGTTTCACACTCTGAGTCAGATCACAGTAGCTGGCTTCAGAATATATAAGGTGCCTCCTTTTTTTCTGCTGATGTGGTGTTTACACAGCATGCAGGCCAGCAAAGATTTCTGTGACAGCATTGTGTAGAACTACAGTGGGGTCTCTACTTAAGCTTCAGTCTCCAGAGACTATAGTACTGTAACGTGCTCTGTATGGAGGACTTGGAACAGCATCTAGTGTGGCTGAAAAGGCCAATTCGAGAGTGACAATCCCTTCCACACTGAAGACAAATACAGTCTGTCCCCTGTCCAGCTCCCTGATTTTGCTGCTTTCGGGACTGCCTCTTTGCCTTGGCCTGCTGGACAAAGCTCTCTTCAAATTGGGAGAGGCCGTGATGCAACGCCTGCCTCCAGGCTGAATGCTCAGATGTCAGGGTTTCTCATCTGTTGAGGTCTATTCCTAAGGCCCTCAGATCCCACTTGCAGATATCCTTGTATCGCATCTGTGGTCTCTCCCTGCACTAATTCTCCACACAGGAGATCTTTTGGAATCCGACCATCAGCCATTCTCACGACATGCCCAAGACAAAGTAAACAAACTAACTTATACTGTACTAAATAAGACTGTTTGTCTCTTTGCCAGAATTGTGTATTGTGAAGCGCAGCAACTTTAGGGCATGTGACTTAAGGCTTTTAACACAAAGATACTTTAGCATGCATCTAATACCTCTAAATTGCTGAGGATTTCTGTTGGATACCTCTCAGGTCTACAGTGCAATCCTCAGCATTGTTTGGAGAACTAAGTCTTTCTGAATTAAAAATGGGATATCCTCCAAGGCAGTTGTACATCATGCTGCAGTCTTTTGGTGTGAGGAGCAGGTAAGGGGGGGTCCAGGGCATAGTCCTGTGAAATTGCTTTTGGGCTCTTTTAAGAAATATTTGGCACTAGTTACATACAGAGGAGTACCTCCTTTTGCTGAGATATGTTCTTCACACACCTGTAAAAGTAAGGGTTTTGAGGAGTTTGGTACCGGAGGGGTTGTGATTTCTAAACTAGGCTTCTTCATGTGAATCTTGACCTGAGCTTATTCAGCATGGAAAAAGAATGCCCCAGAGAAACTTCTGTGTTGGATGAGACAGGGCCATGTAATTTATCTGCCCCCTCCTCTGACATAGACACTGAAAAAATTCACCTAGGTGCTGTATCACTTACCTGTCTTGCAAATATCACCTTACCCAGCAGAATCTTCAGAGACAAGCTGATGCCACTATTCGGTATTTAGGATTATTTAATGTTAGAGTGAGATGGTGTTTAAGATAGAGAAGGCAGAAGATGCAATAGTGTGTACCAAATTATTCTAATGCTGTCCACGAACGATTCTAATACAGTGGTGCCTCGCTTGACGACGATAATCTGTTCCGTTCAAATCACTGTTAAGCGAAATCGTCATCAAGCGCAAGTAAAAACCCATTGAAATGCATTAAAACCCGGTTAAGGTGTTCCAATGGGCGAATACCTCATCGTCCAGCGAAGATCCTCCAAAGGGGAAGCCATTTTCGATCGCTGTCTTCCGGAAATAGGTCCGGAAAAAGCGGGAGACTATTTTGAAAACCTGACGATCAGCTGTAAAGATCATCGTGAAGCGAAAAATCGGTTCCCGAAGTAGGGTACCGATCGTTGTAAAGAGGATTTTCCCCATTGAAACATCATCGCAAAAACCTCATCATTAAGCGATTTCGAATCGTTCCCAAAGCAGGGTACCGATAGTCATAAAGCGAATTTCCCCATCGAAACCTCATCGCAAAAACCTCATCATTAAGCGATTTCAGCGTCGAGCAAGGTAATCGTCAAGCGGGACACCACTGTACTAAATGCTAGAGGGATTGAATTTGCTTGGCTTATTCTGGACACTTAGCTGGGTCCTTGAAAATAATCTAGCTAAATGCTAAAGGGATTGAATTTGCTTGGCTTATTCTGTACACTTAGCTGGGTCCTTGAAAATAATCTAGTATGAAGCTCGACCATTGGCAAGCCTTAAAAGCAAATTTCTTCTAACACCGTGGTAGAGGGAACTTGGAAATACTATGGAAGAGCAGAGGTGGAGAGTTTGTGAACCTCTAGGGGCTACTGGGCTGTGATTTCCATCAACGTAGTCAGCATTGCCCATGATAAGGGCTTATGACAGTCACCGTTCTTAATATAAAGAAGGCCAGACATTCCTTGCCTATCATAACATCTAATGGAAGCCCAGCCCATTCCCATGTAAAGGACAGGTGTGTACAAAGTATCTTCTGGACTCTTAGCAGGAAAATTGACTTCCTTCCAGGAAAATAGAAGTAGAAGTACCTGTTCTGGCATCTTCCAGTAATTTCTTAGCACTGAGCTTCGGAGTTTCACCCTCATTATTACCATATGTTTAATCCTATTCCACTTTTTTTTTTACCAACAGCTACTCACAATGTAACCTTTCAAAAAGAATGGAAACAGTAACAAGTAATCATCAAATAGGGTGGTATTTGTTTGATCCTTTCTAGTATTTGTATACTTGCCTTTTTAAAGCTTCAAATATTTTCTTTTAATCATGTAAATCAACTTGAGTTCTTTGAAGGAGAAAGGTGGAGTAAAAATATTTTAAATAAATAAACACCCAATAGAATATCAAGCAATAAGAATATTGGAAAAATTCAGTAAGTCCAGCTTCTGAAATTAAACAAGGGAAAGAGAAGAAGCTGAAGACAGATAAAAAGATATGCCAAGGGCAATCCAAATAGACCACTCTTTTACTGAAAGGCTACATGGGGCTCTTCCTGGTTCAACCTCTTCTGGTAAGTCAGCTCTCTCACTTGTAGTTATTTTCATCCCTTCTCTCCCCTGTCTCTCAGGTCCTTATCACACTATCACTTTGGGGAAATAAGGTTTGCCAGGCCTTCTTTTTGTTGTTGTTTAGTCCAGCTTCCCAAGGTTCATAGATCTTACATTCCAGGTTCCTATGCAGTATTTCTCTTTGCAGCATCGGACTTTCCTTTCACTTCCAGGCGCATCCGCAGCTGAGCGTCCTTTCGGCTTTGGCCCAACCACTTCATTAGCTCTGAGCTACTTGTCCTCCCCTCTTCATCAGTAGCATGCTGGACGCCTTCTGACCTGAGAGGCTCATCTTCCGGCGTCATATCTTTTAGCCTTTTGTTTCAATCCATGGAGTTTTCTTGGCAAAGATACTGGAGTGGCATTGCCAGTTCTTCCTCCAGGTGGATCGCGTTTAGTCCGAACTCTTCATGATGACCTGTCCGTCTTGGGTGTCCTTGCACGATGACCCTCTTGGGTGTCCCTGCACGGCACAGCCCATAGCTTCTCTAAATTACTCAAGCCCCAGGCCCCATATTTGCGCTAATTGTTCTGCCTTTTTCTTAGATTTAGTAGGTGTGGAATGCAAGCCAGCTGATGAATGCTCAGCTCCTGAGATGTTGGTCCCTTCAGCCGCATTTTTCCAGCGCTTTCTGCAGTTAGCAGCTTGATCCATCTTCAAGATGGTGGAATAGGGCAAGACGGGGGGGGGGACATGGGGACAATTCTGAGTTCCCTGTAACTGTCTTTCTTCTAGCACCCATGCTTTCCATCGGCATCTTATTGGCTGCTGCGGAAATCAGGATGCTGCATAAGATCCATATTTGGTCTGATCCAGCAAAACTCCACAGGTTTCATTATCTCCTACAAAATTAAGCTTGTGTTACCAGTTTGCT